GACGGAATGTGGTCATAGGCAAGCATGACTAGACTGAAATCACAACTGGAAAGATGAAACAGAAACTCGCTGGACGGTGCTGTCATTGGCTGCAGATATAGTGTGTTCACCAATGGGGGATGATCAGCATGGTCTAGAGAAGGGACATCTGTGTGCTCACCAGCGTTTATCCAGCCCTGTGGGCTGTGTGGCTATGAGTTCTGGCCATGAGCTCTGTCAGGCTGCAGAGTGCCGAGACACCTCCACACATGTCATCCTTGCAAGGGGCTGGCTGGACTGGGTGCAGGTGTGCATGAAATTGCAAATGCCAACTTATGTGTATGCATATCTTGAAAGAGGTCTTGTTTTGCCCCATAATGCTTAAAAATTAACCAAATATCCTATAATTTAACCAGAAAGAATATCCCAATTTCCTGTGAGGCAGAATAAATTAAGTTACTCACCTTAGTATTTATTTTTGCCAAGAAACAATCTTTCAAAATGTTAAGTAGGTTGCAGAGATCACATCTAGCAAGTTCCCGGGTCTTGTGTTCTTTGCTGCCCATGTGGTCCCAGTAGGAATGTTTGTAAGGTCCCTATGCTGGTTTGCTTGGCTTCAAGCTCCCTGGCACTACAATTTTCCTTGGGCAAATGTAAAGATGTACACTAACTGCTTTCCCCACAGCTATGGGGCCTTAGTTAGAGGGGTGCTCTGCCCAGCATCTGAGTTTGAGGGAAAGATCTTGAAGGAGAACATGAGAATCTTTGACTTGGGTATTAGATACTTTTTGATTAAACATCCTATTTTTTAGTTGAGCACCTGCTATGTAGCCAGCATCTGCTTCCTGGATCTTCTGCCCCTGCATGCATAGGGAGAGATGGTCAATCTTTACTCACTTTTGAATATCCAGTTGTTTACCTGAAATGGCCCATGAAGCAGTAGGAATAATGCTCTTGGTAACATGAGATGCAAAGTGCAAAAGAAAAGCCGTTTATTCAATATTTCTTTAATACCCACCTTCTAGTACTGCAGTTATCTGGGGAAAGACCTAATATTTTCACTTTTTATTTTGGTGACAACTGCTGCTTCTTTGTGTGCTTGTTGTTCTTCTCTGGCTTTGAAGCCATATTGCCAGTGGACATAGGTCAGAAGTTTTTCCTTTCATCCAAGTTAACCATCCATACACATTTAGCATAGATCTGGCAACTGTCCCCGTGGCAGGGATTTCTCCATCCTGCTGATTTAGGTTGTCATTGTTAATAGCTCCATCTCTCTGTTTTACCTATAGGCATTACGTCATCAGTGAGACCATCTCTGCTCAGCTGGAAGGTGTCAGGCCACTGGGCTGGGGTTCTTGGGTGCTCTTGGAATTTCATCAGTATTTTATTTCCAAAGCAGTTTCAGCACAGACTAGCTCAGAGATAAGAAACGGGGGAATGAAGGGGGTTTTTAGACACTTCCCATTTTGTGAAACTGTATTAAAATTACATTTACTGAGGGGAGTTTAAGAAAGAAAATAGCCTGACGGGAAAACAAAGAAAGAGATGAGTGCTGTAGAAAGAAGGGAAAGGAGGGGAAAGGGTGGAAGGAATACAGAATTTCTGCTCAACTCTGGAATTTCAGAGGAGTGGCAAGGAACACAGATTCACTGGACTTTGGGAGAAACTGTATAACTTTCTTCTTGCATTCTATTTACCTTTCAAACAGTGTTTGCTAGTACTGATCCTGACATCCCTGCACTAATAATAGCTTTGGGGAACATGCTGCACCAATCGGGATGCTTTCTGGCTGAGTTTGAACAAAAGCAAGTTCAAGCTCTTGCTAGCTCTGTGTGGGTGTTAGGGGGCCAGACCTACCTTAGGAGACTTCTTGTATCAAGTCATTAAAAGCCCTCAAATTCATATGTTCATTAAAAGTGTTTACACTTGTTCAGACTGGAAAATCTACCCCAAATGGCATCCGGCCAGAAGTGGATACTTGTTGCTACAGAAGGAGGGACAGATTCCTGTGCCAGAGTAGCACTGTTTCACTGGGCAAGAGGGGACATTCCTTCCTAAGAATATATGGCTTAACGGGTCGAGTGAAACTTTGCTCGGCTCTCTGCCCATGTGGAAAATGAATGCGTGGCATCTACCTTCCAAAGGAGGAGAGCACAGGAGCAGAACAGAAAGGCAGGTTACTCTTGACTGTTTGGAAAGGCACGGATCCCAGAGTGAGCTGTACTGCCCAGCTCCACGGGGTTGTAGACCCCTGAACACATTACCACCCCAAGTCTTAAAAATTGTCCGCTCACCACCATGGAAAGAATCAGGCTTAGTGCTTTAATCATATCCAGAGGCACAATAAAATGCAGCTTCAGCCAGAGCAGATCCGGTTTCTTTCCCAGACTTGGCAACTTATAAAATAAGCTCAGTGGTATTCCAAGAGTTAATTATGAGACTTTAGAAATCCTGGACGGGCATCAATCTTTTAAAAATATTCACACCAAGCCTCAGCAACTTAGAGAGGCCCTAAGTAACTCAGCAAGACCTTGTCTCAAAATATAAAACATGAAAAGGGCTGAGTGGTAAAGTGCCTCTAGTTCAATCTCCTGTACAAAAAAAAAAAAAAAGAAAAGAAAAAGAAAAAAGAAATAAAAGAAAGAAAAAGGAAAACCAAATCATACCAAGTATTTGGCTTTATATAGTACCACTGAGTGTGCACATTTTAAGAGTTCAACACTTTTAACATTTTCTCTCCAAACCTAAACTTCACCAAAAGTGCACAGGAAAGTGAGATTTATTAGGTGCATTTGAAGGCAACGACATCTACTCACTTTATGGCAGAAATGCAGGAGGGCAGGTCCCTTGCTCCCTACCACTGCCAGGCAGTAGGAGAGGAAAAACTAGAACTCCTGCTTTCAGAGCCCTTCCCTCCATCCGCAATCTCTGGAATCCAGTGTGAGAATCCAGAAGAATCAAATGACTCCTCTACTCAAGGACTTTAAGAAAAGTTTCTGCTTTTTTCCTTTGTTAACCTGAGAGGACAGTGGGAAGGAGAACATCTCCCTCCCCATCTTTCCTAGCTCCAGGTTTCCCTTTAAAAAATGCAAGCCACACCACAGCTCCCCAGCAGCTGAGTGAAGCCTCCACCTCTGGAGCCCAGCTGTCCCCTACCCATTGGTGGGAAAAGAGAGTTCCAAACAGGCAGAAGGCCTTGGAGGGCAAAGGCAATCCTGAGCACAGGTGAGACAAATACCATGTAAAGAGGGTTCCCTTGGCTCACCAGCAGAGCCCTCTCCTCTCTTAGGGTGGGGCTGCTAGACCTCAGGGACTCTGCCAGTGCTGGGAGTGGCTCCTCCCAGCCAGGCATTTTTATTATCAAATGAGTGATGTGAGAGGGGGGAGGTGAAGAAATATATGAGAAACTGATGCCATCTTTGTCACATCATCAGTTTTTAGTGAAAAATCTAGACTTTGTTACCTGTACAGAGATAGAATTCAGTTCTTAGGGACTTGTGGAGAGGCTGTGTGTGTGGGTCTCATCATCCACTTTAGAAATATTCTCTTCTATGTGAACATATTTTCTCCTAAAAACCAAAGCAACATGTTTATTGCAGAAAAATTTTAAAAGCAACAACAAACAACAGAAATGTAACCAGAAGCAACTAACATTCACCCACAATTTTACCATCTAATTTTATCAACCTTTTATTGCAACATCATCAGTTTATTCCCTATCCTTTTATGGCATTTAAGTTCTAAGAGGGCAGGGATCTTGTTCACTTCTGTGATCTGATCTTCTGAACATGGTTCAGGGCAGGTTGATATGCAGTATGTATCAGTTGAATGAATGAATAAATAACTGTACGAACATACTTATGTACAGTAGAATTGCTTGGGTTTGGCAGACTCAAATCCAAGCTGCTACTGCCAACTTACTGTATGTCCTTGAAGAAATCACTTCACCTTTCTCTGGGCCTGAGAATTTTCTTCAGTAAAATAATCATCGTAGCAAACACCGATTGCGCATCTAGCGAATGTATTATTATAAACTCTATGTATATATTTCTCACCATAACTTATGAGATGGCTATCCACTATCTCGATTTGATGCATGAGGAAACAGGCATGGAGAGGGTAAGTGATTTGCTCAAAGTCACACAGCTCCTAAGTGGAGAGCTGGGCTTGAACTTGGGCATCCAGGCTGTGATCCTCTCAGATGAATGCCTAGACTGTGGGATGAGATGCCTTCAAAGTCTCCTCCCAGCTCCAGGATTAAGTTAGAGAGGAGTGGTGCGGGAAGGTGGCAGGCAGTGATGATCACGCCAATAGCTGGGTTCAAGAAAGTCAATTGTGGAACAAGGTCTAGGTAATTATTATATGGAGATCAGAGAGCAAAGTCTAGAAGACTTCCTCCAAGAGTCCACACAGGCATTCAGAGTGCATAATTAAAGAGTAGGGATTGTCTATTGTCAATCAGTGCTCCTTCATTCAGAGGCAGGTTACCAAGGCACTTGGTTGGTCCTCTTTTCTGCTTCCCGGGTCTCATACCACAGGAAGGTGTCCAAGGGTCAGTCAAGGGAGTCAGAAATAAATCTGATCCTTCCTGGCAATGAGCAGCAGCTGATGCATTTGATGGAGAAGGAAGAACAGGAATCTCATTTGATGATTAGCTGGGATTTTAATTAACAGGGGTTCTCCTTTCTCTCCTCTTTCCCCTTCCTCCCCCTCTCCACTAGAACCTGTGTTTTGTCTTATGTCCATAGTAACCGAAGTCTCTTTCTGGTGAGGAGGAATGGGCTTCAGTAAACAGATCTATTTGTGTGACTCCTATTACTCATTTGAAGCAATGTCACTCCTTTTTCCACTGTGGTCTGTGTGTCTGAGTCAGAGGGAGCCTACAACAGGGTTCTTTGAATTGATGGCTCACTCCCAGTCACTTTTGACTGACTGCCAACTTAGCAGGGCGTAGCTTACCAACATTTTTTTTTTTTTAAAGCTAGACTGATTCATAGAAACTCCTTTAAAACACAGGGAAAAGAAACCGCCCATCACACACCCCAGCACACCAGTGGAGGAAACTTATAACCTCGGGAGGCAGTCCCTCCCCTCACTGTGGTCACATACCTCCAGAAGAGCGGACCAAGGCTGCTGCCAGCTCCTGCCACTCAGGGCGTCTGCCTCTGTCGCTGGGACTCTCAAGGTAGGACAGCTCCCAGCTCTGGGGAAGCTCTGCGTTCTGTCTTCTTTTCACTGTGCTCCTTCTGAGAGTTCATCTAAGCATTGCTTTTACTATTTTCCTTTGCTACTCTTCCATGGTTCTCTCAGAATCAAGTCCTTGAAACGTTTAGTCAAGTGGATGCTGAGACAACCTTTCCCTTAAAGTTAAGAATGTGTTTTGTGGAGGGATCAGGGGGAAATCAACAGGACGGGTCTGTACTCATTTCTTGAATTAACTGCGTTCCAACTCTAAAGATGTGGAGGGAGCAGGGACTTTGGAACAGATCTGGATAGCATATTCTTTATGGAGGAAACAATACATACCTCTGAAATGGAACTTGCCAGATGTTTTCAACTCCTCTGTTTTGATTCAAATCGCTTCAGGATTTGAGTTGTTTCTTGGCTTGTGGGTTGTTTGCTGGTCTTTCGGGGTGAGGGTGTATAGATGTGTGGTTTTCAGTTTATTTTTGTTCTTTTACTGCCCTTTTCCTTGTCTATTCACTTCTGTTTAAATTTTTTTTTCCTCCCTCCGCCCCTGTCGGGGTGGGGAAAAGGAGAATTGGTTTGTTTAAAGAAAACCGTTAGGGAAACAGAGAGGGGGAGAGAGAGAGAGAGAGAGAGAGAGAGAGAGAGAGAGAGAGAGAGAGAGAGAGAGAGAGGGGCAAATGGTGTTTAAAAACAAAAACAAAAACAAAAACAAAAACAAAATGTGGGAGGGTTCATTTGGTGGAATCAGGAGCCTGATGTGGATTCCAGACTCCTCTTCTGGTCCAGATGTGGAGGCAGAAGGGAAACAGGGCTTGGAGGAGCGGGAGGGGCAGGGGAACTTTGTTCCTATAAGAAACTATTGAGTGGCTTCGAACTTCCACCCCAGGAACAGCTGCATTTCAGTGCAAAGTAAAAGCTCACAACAGAAATTCCTAAGCGGGTGTAGAATTTTGTGGCAGGGAAGGTAGTGATCATTTTTGGAATGTTTAATCTTTTCACTCTTTGGCAGAATGTGGTTGTACAAATGCAAACGCGAAGCATGAAGTGCATCTGGGGAGAAGAAAGGCACCTTTGCTGTTTGCTTTTGTTTTGTTGGGTTAACATTTGGGTTGAGTGTCGACAGGGGTGTGGCCGTTTTGACATAGATACTGGTATATATATTTTTTTCTCCCCACGTAAACAAGATGAGAATGACAGGATTCAGCTTGTCTGGTGAAGTTAGGCTTTTCCTTCAGAAATGCAGTTCGCCTGTTGGTTGGGAGATTTAAATGTAATCAGCCTGCAAGTTGAGCAGGCAAAACTCCTTGTAAAACTGCCCCCGAGGGGGTGGTTAAGCAAACGCAAGGGCAACTTCTCAAGATGCAGGGAACTCCCACGTTTGCTTCAAATGTTTATGACTTCCAGATTACATGGATGTGCTCGAGAAGAGCCAGATTAAATCCACGGCCCTGGTAGTTTATGAAAATAATACAGACTTGCCGTCAGTTTTGTGTAGGTTAAAACTAATAAGCAAACTCTAACCAGTCAGCAAATGGGAAACACCGACAATCCAGAGGGTGTAAACATCATGATCCTTGTTATTTGTGAAGCATTTCACATCACTCTTTGGCTTTAGGAGTGCAAAAAACATGCTGTCTGTTATGTGCTGGAGTTTGAGGCAACCTAAGGTGACTCAGATTCCTGCTGTCTACTTTTCCTGCAAGGAGGCGGCGAGCGCCTCAGTTGGGAGAGGTTTCTGGGACTTCAGCTGTAGGTCTTCAGACAACCCAAAAACGGGAGGGCTATTTTCCCCCTGTGGCCTCCCACCCTCAGAGGTGGATCCAATTCCACCCAGACTCTAAAGAATGGGGCGGGGGTGGAGAGCCATCCAGGGCTGCTGGACATCCGGGCTACTGCCCTGGTGAGAAGGGCCCCCAGATTTCACATTGTTCAGGGGTACTAAACTGTTTTGGGAGTTGGCATAATGCCATCAAGGGACCAGCCCTGAGCAGATCACTTCCTCAGAACCTGGCTACCTCCCAGGAATCCTGGGCGGCCCTCTGAGGAGAGGAAAGACATTCCTTTTGCAAACCTTGGAAAGGACTGACTGGTTTGCTCAATCCTCGGTGCTTTCTTCTGGAGACCAATTAGGCCTAATCATTTCCCAGCCTTGAATGGGCTTCATAGAGATCTAGCTGGGAATGCAGACCCTCTTGGCTCATTCTGGTGGCTCTTGGGATTTTCGGGGAGTGCTGGACCCATGGGGGCTCTGGAGAAAGAACACACAGGCCCAGGATGGTTTATGCAGGAAGCAAAACTGCTTTTCTCTAGACTCGCTGGAGCCTGATGGGGTATGTACATGAAAAGTGGCCACGGAAAAGGGCACAAAGCAAATTAGTTCCAATACATGCTTCATTTTATTCCTAGAATTCTGAATTTGGGAGGGATCTGGAAGATCATCTCATTCGTTCTTCCACCATATTTGTGAGTCTAATTTTGGACATTTTACAGCTCCTAAAAATCCCCATCCAGGAGGAGCTCAGTACCTCAGAGTTGTGTCTCCTGCTCATCCCCCTTAGAGGGGTAGCTCCAAACTATCAGATTTCCTTAAATTGAACAAAATCAGCTTCCCTGTAAGTTCCTGGTTCTGCAGGTCTGAAACAACCCAGAAAATATCTATACGGGATTTGTTGTTGCCCCACCCAATGCTCCTCATCTTTTAGACACTAAACTCTTAGTAAATATTTAATTAAGACAGCTTGGTGGATCTGTATTGCAATATCTCTTTTACTTTTCTTTCTTTATTCCTCCTACGTTTTAGAAAGGAGCATTTATGAAGTTTTAGAATAGGCACATAGTCAAGCATATCCATAGAGTTGGACTCTGAGGTATTTCATTTTTTAGACACATGAATATGGTTCCTTCTTTAACTTCCCACATCTCTATACTCTGCAGCCTTAACACCAAAGCTCAGAGAAATTTGAGACTCAGATGCACATACTCAGAGGGACACACCTCGTATTGCCACCTAGTGGGTCATGGTTAAATCAATCCAATATGAGAAACACTTATTTAACTTGGTGTTTTGGAGATTGTCCCATAATCTGGCCCACAGTGCATGTGGTCCATGCTTGTACACGGTTAACCACCTGTCATGCTAACTAAAGGAATAAGCTGCCAATCAAAGGTAGCCTGTCTAATTGCTGGAAGTCGGTGTATCAATCCCTTGAGAAGAGCTCATAATCTTTAACGAGTGTAGGACTAGAATTTTCTGAGCATAAGCCTTTCTTTTTCAGGACTCTTCTCAGTTCAGCCCAGTTGATCCCAAATTTCTGGGACTATGCTTGCCATTCAGTAATTAAGGAAGGCCACATACAATTAGGAGTTTATTTGAATTTGCAACACCTCACCCCTAAAACACACATCCCCAAAACTTCAATCCCTGGTGCTGATTGGTGAAGCAGTTTTTCTCAATTTAACTGGAAGATTCACTGATGCTGCCTAGAAATACAAACATTCTTGGGGATTGCTTCTTCTCTCTTCCTTTTAAACAAAATATTGGGGTCAATATTTTCTTCCCTGTCATAGGGAGGGCATTTCTCTGGAACCTAAAGGAACTCCTCTCTGGTTGTGGCTTGGCCTTATGTGGCTGTGGCAGTTGATGTATTTCTTGAGTCAATTTCATGAATTCTTCCTTCAAAAAGGAAGAGAATCCTTTTGGCATGGAATTTGACTATGGCTGTGAGATATGAGATAGGTAGTATGAGACATGAGATGCTGATAGGAAGACATAGGGGCTGTTGTCTTGTCGGGACTCTGCTGTATGGCCAGGGGAAAATCACTCACAGTTTCCTTGCTTGAGGAAATTAAACTTGATGGCCTTCAAGGCCTCCGAAACTCTGAAATTCTAAGATCCTACCATTCTTATTTTGAGAAATCCCTTGAGTTCACAGTAAAAGCTGGTTAGAAATTGGTAGAAAAGTGGAATGAGGCAAAATCTTGCACTGAAATTGGCATTTGCAGAGAATGCTTGGCTCCCAGCTGACATGAGGACACAGGTGGCATCCTGTGCCCCATCCCCCTAGAGATTGCTTACTTCCAGGACTTACCTTTAGGCAGCAGAGAACATCACCCAGCACTTGGAAGGGAAGGAGAGGTTTGATTTATGAAACGTAGGGTTCCCTGCCAGCTAAGCCTGTTAAGACACTGACAATAGCAAGGAATTTGTCAGGAATGAAATTGGGCTCAGGGAGAAACTGAGCTCTCCCTGGGAAAGAAACTCCACCCAATTCTCAAGGATGGAGATCCTGCAGCATGAGGGTGTGGCCCTAAAGGTGTGGAGCCAAGGAAAAACAAATTAAGAGGAGGAAAGGGAAGGTTCCCGGAGGACCCGAGGGAGGGAGGGTGGGTGTTGGGGGAGAAGGCAAATGGAAAGGTGTAGAAGGGACAGAAAGATGGGTGGACAAGGACCAGGAAGAGAGCCAAAGAGCAAGGACAACATGTTGAGAACATTTCCACTCCTAACTCCTTCTCCTCTTGTTTGGGGGCCACCCACCCTCAATGTCCCAGGACATCATCATTAGGTCAAAATTCTGATACTTGTTCCTGTGAAGCTTCATTTGTTGCTCAGCCACATCTAATTTTTTTTTTTTTTTTTTGGTTTGGTCAATACATGCTTGGTGCCATTTGTGTTTTCATTAAGTGTTTGTGCGACAAGGCGGTGACCTCTCCTACTGTTCCTCCATCTTTCAGAGGTAAGATCAGAACTAGGAGCAAAGTGAGACCCTTGATTCTTAGACCTCTTGTTTCAAATAATCAAAGCCCCTCCCCAGAGGGCTGGAGAAGGGGAATTAGAGAGAGACTTTCTTCCCTGAAACAATGAGTTTGGGGTAAGATGGAGTATTCCCACTGATCTCAAAAGAATTCTGAAGCTGAGCCCCAGAGCTTTCTCTTTGCTGAAAGATGCTCTCTGAGCTTCCATAGGGAGGGGACTCCTATGCAGAGGGTGGGGCCCGG